TGGTACATGCATAAAGGTAAGATTACAAAGCAACATAATGACTTCAGGCCATCGCTGTAGATTAAAATTAACTTTTTAGGGAAAAAAGTACTCGGAAAGTACTCGGCCGAGTACTTTCCGAGTACTTTTCTCCTTAAAACTTAAATTTTACACAACTGGGAGTGTCTGAAGTCTAACATTTATTTTGTAATCTTACCTTTGCACATTTACCATCAAATGACTGTGTACTCTGGCTTTATTCCCTCTTACCCAGTTCAGTATTTTGCGGAGAACGTTGGTACTCGGAAAGTACTCGACTACAACACTGGATTTAATAGAATGCACCCTAATTGGCAATCTAAAGGGTGCACTGCCCGGTTCAAGGGAAATTCTTCGGCAGGCGGAGGCGCTCAAACAGTACCCCTACAGTTTATTTGGAAAAGGGGAGATTGTGTGGCCCAAGAATTTGTGGGATTGTAAAAGAATGGCCCAGAATGAACTCCCTAGATTCGAGGGCTCCCATCCCAGGGCGAAGCATAGAAAAATATCCCTGAAAAATTGTCCAAAGAGCCTGAAAAGGTGGAGGGATGTCATTTGAAAAATGGCCGCTGACAGACTTGGGAACGTTCCTTTTTTGGAAGGTGAGTTTGTTTTGGGTGGATAATTAAAAATTTTATTGGTTAACCTACTAAAAATTGAAAGTCAATTGAGAGCTGAATGGCCCTAGAACACTTTTTTGTTTGAGAGGCCTGAAGGACTTCGGCTGCCCGCACCGGGGCTGCAAACGTGGTCGATTTTACATTGTCTTCAATGGGGCTTCAATTAGTTCAGTGCACCCATATACACATTATCGTTGCGGTCAAGACTGGTGCCTTGTAATTTATTGTGGGGCAAACACATAAACAACACAAGTTACCAGACGGACGTGAACCCGCTACAACAAGGTACCAGCTACGGAAGATAGTTACATCATCGCAGCCCAATCAGCGCATGGGGATGGGGGTATATTGTAACGGTAATCCCTTATGGGGAACACACCCGCCAGTTAAGAACACGAACTCAAGAAAATCATTCCACCGAACACAAGTCAATTTTTTGGGTCTCCGGAAAAAGATTTTTTAAATCACAATTTTATTTCTTGATTCTCCGGAAAGGGTGAGATTGACCAGGCTAGGCCCCCATAGCACTCGACAAAATAGGGATTGAACAAAGGAAACAAAATGCAAACTTACATGATGAAACAGAAGAAAAACACCGACGGACGGCGGTAACTTATACAACATAAAACAGGCAAAATCAAACTTCACAATAGCAAATTCAACTAAATGCGTACAGAAAAAAAGACCGCCGCCCGCCGAGCTACAGAGATGTGTCTACAGCCAGAGTGTTCTGTAGAAATGCCTCGTCCAGTGTTTTTGTTGTTGTTGTTGTTGTTTTTTTGGATTAGTTTTTTTGTTTGTTTGTTTTCTTTGTTTTGTTTTTTTAATGGCGCTTTCAGCAACTCGGGCTATTTGTGCCAATAACTATCCGTTTATTCACACACTTAATTAATCAGCATCACGTTACGGAGTTAGGAAGAAGGTTCAGTTTTAGAGGCAGGAGGAAACCGAAGTGCCCGGAAAAAACCTGTGAGACCGAAACTGAAAACCAAATGCACACTCAAGCCTGGGCCAAGCCGGGACTCGAACACGGGCCTCGTGGGTCGAGTTCAAGCGGCTTGTTCTCGTATGTTCTCGAACAGCTTGATTTGTCGGTCTTCCCGCTCGAACGCCGGGAACGTACAATCGGTCATCGCTGGTAGTTAGTAAAAAGCAACATGGCGGCGTCCAGGTTGTAGTAAACTATTCGACAGTTAATGCTTGGACAACTGGGCTGAATTCTGTTCTTTTTAAACAGGAACATTCACTTCTGTGTCGTGAAAAATAATTAATGTTAATTTTGCAAACATCCTATTGTTTCCAACTTTGTAAACCATCTCTCTATTTTTTGCAGCTGTTCAAAAATCAGAATCTCACGAGTTTTTCCGCGTGTTCCTGCAAAACCCTGACGAGGAGGTGGTGTGTGATCCTGTTCCGAGAACAGTGTTCTTGAGTCGTGTTCCCGCCGTTCGAGCGCGAGAACAAGAAACCCGTGTCAAGAACACGGCGCCCGAACTCGACCAGTACATGTACATGTACGAGGAAAGAACTGCAACGCTAACCAACGCCCTCGCCCAGTGGTAGTCGCATGGGCCTCGCCATACCCTCTTTGCAGACCATCAGTGGAATGTTAAAAGCAGTACCCTTTGTACTTTACATCAATAGACATGGTCCAGTAAATGTACCCCCAAAACTGAAGGAATGTGTGCCATCACAGTGAACATACTGGGCGCACTACAACTGTGTCTTGACCCAGCACCCGGAGACCATTTTGTTACAATACAGTGTGTCCCAGAAAAAACCAAACCCTGAGGAATATGCCCAAACCATGAGATATGATTATAATGTATAAGGATCTCCGAAAAGTAGAAGCAGTATTCTTTCCAATGATACCTTGATCGCATCCTTTTGTAATGCATGACTGAACACCGTTGTCTTGAATAATCTCCCCATTTTTTTGCTGGGATAAAAAAAAATGAAATTGGACTTCGAAAATTATTTCAGACTTCTTACAAATATGCATTCAGTACCACTCATCAAAAAGGGAAAAACAATTTAAAAAGCCATAAATATGCCATTATGAATACATATTTCCAGATGTGCATTATTATGGACATCGATCGACCTCTATATAGAGTCATATTTCCCGAGCACAAGTGCACGTCACTGATTAACACGATTTCAATCGTTAATTCCAACACTGCGCAAGATAGAAAAGGGTTCATTGGGTTTGCATTCTATGGTAAATGTATTAACGATCGTTTAGTCCTTAATATCGATGAAGAGGCTTTAATTAAAAATTTAAAGCAGATACGTAGTGTTGCACTTGGAAAGGCAGAGTATTAGGGAAACTACTGTTTATATTGTACATGAAGATAAGTGTACATGTACATGTATGTATACTGAAATCGACCGTTGCTGTTAGCAGTGCAAAATGAAGATTTGTAAGCCTAGGCGTTTAGCACATCCTTTAAGCGACGTGTTCATGAAAAGAAAGTTTCAATTCCATGTAAGCATCTTGGAAAAGAAATAATTTCATGATGTTGACCACTGTTTTCCCTAACTTGATTAACTCCACAATCCGTAAGTCACTTTTCCAATGTGCTTTTGTAGCCATGCACACATGGAGGGCACCAACTTGAGTGCGCACAGATTGAAGCCTACTAACCAGACATCCATGTCAGAAAGGGACGCCTTTGAAGTGTGTACACGGAGCATGCAGAATGTTTGGTTTGAAAAATTCTGAAATACCTCGAAGTCCGATAAAGAAATGCAAGGTACCAGAATATGTGACCGATATGCTCATGTAGAAGATATACCACTTTAATATTTAAAAATTCTTTAAAGTACATTGAAACGAACTGGCTGAGATTTTGTTTTATCATACCATAAATTCATTGCAATATTTTGATATGCAGATTTTTAAATCCTGTACTGTATAAGCTGTACAATCATGCATGACAGAGCTGTTTTGAATTTGAGACGTGAATTCAAACATGCGGGCTAGACAAACATTAACGTCTATATTTCTTCGATGTGGTGCAGTACCGCACGCAGCGCTTCGCATTAACTCTGGATATAAAGGCCTGCTAAAAAATTGCACCCAAAATTGTCGGCGTGTCACACAATAGCCGACTTAATTAAATCATTGAATTAAATTGCAAGCGATTACACTGTCCGTGCGCCTCAATTGTCACTGGATTCAAAATTGAAAAAAAAACGTGCTTGTAAGGGTGCACCGTGCAGTCTCGATTGATTTTTTCCCTCGTTTAAGTCCTGAAGGAATAACCCTCGGGCATGCCTTCGCAGCGGATTCGATTAATTTTTCGGGGGGGACATTCCCTTCTTTCCCCAAGGATGTAACAGCCTAAAAAAAAACTGTCTCAGCCCTGAGACAGGCCATAACAATCACATTAAGAAATTCCCAATTCGGGGGCTCCCCTAAAAAAATCATCCCTTTCCCCCTTCAGAAAAAAGCATGTCATCCGCATCGTCTTTGAGCGTAAACGTCTGAACGGTACACAAGTCATGTATGGTGTACATGTACTTGCAGTAACATATCACCACCCGATCGGTGAT